TGTAAGCCTTCTACTTGGCAAAAGCAAACGGAACGCACGGCTCTGCCGTGGCGGAGCGCGCGCGATAGGCTTTTGCACTCACTGCTGTACTTGACGCGCTTGTGGTCCCTGGGGCCGCGGCCCTTGGTATAGGACGCCTTCACCACCGCGCCCTTGGCGTCGCGCCGCCGCACCGCGGGCCGCAGCGCCTGCCCTGCAACGTCAGGACAACGTCACGGACAAGCACCACCACCGACACCACCCCGCCAGCACCTCGCCGTCGTCGCCAACTAGCTGCGACCAGGAACACCTCGCCGTCGCCGTCGAGAACTAGACCCCCGCGACTACACCAGGATCAACTCGACGCCGAAGACCATCAAAGACACGGTTGCACCGGGAACACACCTCGACGCTGAAGACCGCCGAAGGCAATAGACCTGGCAACACCAGGAACACCTCGACGTCGAGGACAAGACCCTGCCGGGCGGGTCCCAAACACCTCGCAATCGAAAAGACTCGAGTGCACCACGATCGACTCGACGCCAAAGACCATAGACCGACACGCCGCGGTCGCCCTACCCCAAAAAAACTCTTCCATTACTTTTCCGGTGTGGAGGACGACAAGCTCCCCTTCACCCCACGTCGTCGTCGGCCACCTCACCCGAAGGAGAAGGCGGCGGCACGTCGTTTAGTGCGCTGTTCCCCGGCCTTATAGCAGCAGTACGACGCATTGGGGCCGACAATCGTAAACGGGCAGGAGGGCCCGGGGGAGGTGACGTCCCCCAGGCAGTAGGGGACGCGGCTAAGACGGGCCCGCCACCCACACCACCGCACTACACGAAAAAAGGGATTAGCTAGCTATATAGCTTAACGATAGCTAATGAGACGTCTGACTATCCAGCTACGAGGCAAAACATTTAGCTAGGTCATTGAGAAATGTTGATGTGAGGCTAAAACAGTGTAGCCAAAGCCAAACAAATGTTTAACTAGATAGCCAGCTGAGTCATATTTTTTTACGTGCATCCGCCACTCTTTCTTGATTACGACCGACTCGAACGACGACAACCCGCCGTCCGCCGTCCGTCGAGTGTTCGAAGAAAGATGACAGACGTAACGTACGAGTCGTTGACGGACGCACACGTGGACCATCATACACAAGACCGGTGGAGCGAGAAGAGAGCGCGGCGACAACGAGTGCGACGTGGTGGACGTGGTGGAGGAGGGGGGCACCAACCCGACAGACGGGACGGGCGGGCCCACGCTCGCACGCGACGGACGCCACAGAAATCGCTAATCGACTCGGCTGACTGGCTTTGCCCCCGCCGCCCCGCGGGTCGTCCTGCCGAGAGAGACACATGCGCGCGAGAGTCTGTGCGCGCGGGGGCCGCCACCACACTGCAGCAGCAGCAGCAGCCCGCCCGAGTGCTTTCTCTCTCCCCGAGTTGGACATTGTCGCGCGGTCCTGCAAAAGCGAGTGCTCCAGACCTGCCCCGCCCCGCCGCCCCGCGTGCCGTAACGTCCGGCACGCCCCGGTGTGGTACAGTACGCCCCCGGTACGCCGCCGCCGCGCTGCTGGGAACGCCCGACGACAACGACGACGATGGAGCCAAACCGCCCTGGAGGAGAAAACCAGACACCCCCTTCGCTTTTGGCTCGAACGAGAACAAGGAGCAGAACACGGGGAAAAAAATGATTAGAGCTGAACCAGTAGCAGTACGGCTAAATAAGGGATAACCTATTATGTAGCTAAAACTTTTGCTATGTTAAGTGTTTAGCTATGTTTTTGCCTTATTTACAAAGGCATTAATATTTCACAACTACTTCAGACTTCTTGAAGCTTAGCACTTTCGTTTACAAACCAAAAATACAGTCAAATGACATATTACTTTGGTTCCCCAATGCTGTAATTATACGATAGTTTTTTCAAACAACAAATACATAAGATCGTTGTACAACAAAAAGCATCGGCATTACAAAAATTAAAATTAACAAGAAATTTGTTGCAAAATTTACAACTTTATTTTTAACAGAATAGTAAGTTTTGCACATCCGCGCCGGGCGCGAAGGGCTACTACTACCCCCACCACACCCGGCGCGACTAACCGCGAGTCACAGAGAGTGAGTCACTGCTGGCGCCAGTGGAGCTGGGGGGGAAGGGGGGAGGTCTCGTTCAGTCTGAGGCGAGCAAGCTGTCGCTCGATCAGACGGGCTGGGCGGGGAGGAGAGGGGGAGGCGTGCCCTGCCCAGCCCAGCCCAGCCCAGGGGGACCCGTGAAGGGGGAAGGTAAGTACTATGCGACAACACGGACACGTCCAGAAGCAGCCACCCTAGGAAGCTGCGGCGACGACGGCAACCACCCCAAAAACGAACAAACCATCCAAAAAAATGCTGGAAAAAAACAACTAACTAAACGCCAGATCAGTAGCCGTTGCAAAATTTAAAACAATACAAAAAAAAATGTTTTAAAATGTCGACATCACAGACAAAACGTGGACTTCAACGAAATATTTAAAAACAGACAGAAATTATATCCTTGAAAATATTGGAATGCAATCGACGGAGGTTAGTTATAAAACTATAAAAACATGACCGCACAACAAATAGAAAAATCTGTCAAGTCCAAAAAAAAGGAAACAAAATATCGACCAAAAAAAATTTGCAACCATATTGTTCCGCGCGGTCGGAGGGAGCGGCCCCGCCCCGCCAGCCGCTGCCGCACCCGGCAACCCGGCGGCGGGCGGCGGGCACACACGGCGGCTACACTGCAAGAAGAAGCCGGGGAACAAAAAAAAGTCACGCTGATTTGATGAAACAACTCGGACGCACTAGAGCCGAAAAGTGTCGACCGAAAGCCGCAGACGGAAAAATGATAGAAAATTCATAATTCATCCATGGGCAGAGTCTGGGGGGCCCCGCCCCGGGTACAGCGGGGTGCTCTACGGCGGCCTCGCCGGGGGGTGATCGGCGGCCTCGCTCACCTCGAGGCTGGTTGCCGGCGCGGCCGGGGGCGCGGCAGCAGATGCAGAGGCCCTGCTGGACGAGCCCGGAGAAGGCCGTGAAGATCATGCTGCTGCTACTGCTGCTGCTGACACACGGGCGCGCGCGCACACTTGCCGGGTCCGGGGGTCGGCTCGCGTCTGGGGGCTTGTCGTCGGGGACCTCCCGCGGGGCCCAGCCCGCCGCCCCGCCGCCACCACCGCGCCTCCTCGCCGGCAAAACCACCCCCTCAGCCACCCCCCGGATCGGTCAATATCGGCGGCGGCGGCGAGAGGCAGCGGGGGCGGCGGGGACGGTGGGGGCGGCAGCGGCGGGCGCAACACTCCCATACCCGGCGCCACGTGGTGCCTCCTCCAGCACAAGCAGCCCCCTGTGACGGACTGCAGCATGCTGCTGCGGACGGCCACAGAGCCGTCGTACGTTACACGGCGAACAAAAACGCAGTTATTCTGGCTGATATACATTTCTGGCGCAAAGCAGTGGGCCGCCCCCGGCTCAACAGCAGAGTCTAACACACGAGCAGCCCGAGAGAGGGAGAGAGGGAGAGAGGGAGAGAGGGAGCGAGGGAGAGAGGGAG